CGCCAGGTGCCGCCGAGGGGCGTGGGGTGCCTTGTCAGCCGCTCCCGCTGCCACCCTCGCCGCGGGCAGAGCCTAGCCCCGGCCGGCCGACCCTGACCACTGGGGGGTGTCAGTTCTCGTCGCTGTCCTGGGGCCCTTTTCTTTCTGAGAATGTATGCCAATCAGCTGGGGATCATCCCCGCGCTAAACCAAAATACTGCGGAAATTGTCATCATAAGGGACTCTGATGAATGCCAGGACAATCTGTAATGAGGAATACTTGCCGGCCCCGAGGGAGGTTGGGGCGGGGGGCGCGGCTGGAGGGTGAGAGGAAGGAGAAATGGGAAGCCCCCTCCAAAGGGGAGACCAGACCAACAAGATGCCCACCTCCACCCCACCCCATCCCCGGGAAGACAAGCCAGATTTGGGCCAGCCCAATCCCTCTTATAATTAAGAGATGAATTGTTGAAATTGAATTGGGGACGCAGGGGGCTTTTAGGGCAATGTATGCAACTTTTTCCCCCATGGTTAGTAACCCAACTGATGCAAGGAACAAAGTCTGACGAGCTCCTATCTGAAGGAGTCCTTCAATGATGGTTGGATCGGAAGTGCTGAGCTGGATGCATGCAGGCCTGTGTGTGTGTGTACACCAGACATTTTTCTGTTTCTTTTTTAAAATGTATCTAGTCCTGTGTCTGGTTATAATCATAGTAAACACTGTAACGATTTCTAATCAAGCATAATAGCAGGAAGGCAAAATGTAAGTCTGGAGGTTCCTGCTTCTACAGCAAAACCAAAATTTAGTATTGATCTTTCTACCAGACCACTCCCCCCACCCCATCCCTACCCAGTCCATCCCTGAGAGCTTGCCTTCCAGGCCCTACTGTCTCACTGGTGTGAGTGATGCTTGCACTGAGTTCCCAGCATGGAATCAGAATATGAAGGGGCTCTCAGCAAGTAGGGACAGTGGGGGTAGAGAAAGCAAGACCAGTCAAGTCAGCCAGACTTCCACCGCCTAACCCTAGTGCATCAAAAATGAGCTTTCATTGAAAATCTAGTGGAATTCTGCACTAAAACTGTCTGGCCTTGCCTGAGCTGTTTGGGTTGGGAGATTTTTTATTGACTTCTTCTATTTCCTTGAAGTTTATAAGTTTATTTACATTGTTTATCTGATCTTGATTTGACTTTGGTAAGTAGTATCTATCAACAAAGTTAATCATTTCTTTTAGATTTTCCCACGTTTGTGGAGTACAGGTTTTTTATTTTTTGTTTGTTTGTTTGTTTGTTTTAAAGTATGACCTAATGATGCTTGGGATTTTCCTAGTTGCCTGTTAGGTCCCCTTTTGTTTCTGATTTTGGATATTAATTTGATTTTTTTTTTCAAAGAACCAACTCTTTGTGTCATTGATTCTTTGTATTGATCTCTTTGTTGCTATTTTATTGATTTCAGTGCTCAGTTTGATTATTTCCTGCCATCTACTCCTCTTAGGTATGCTTATTTCTTTTGGTTCTAGAGCTGTGGTTCTCAACATTCCTAATGCTGTGATCCTTTAATACAGTTCCTCATGTTGTGGTGAACCCCAACCATAAAATTACATTATTGCTACTTCGTAACTGTCATTTTGCCACTGTTATGAACCATAATCTCAATATCTGATATGTAGGATATCTACTATATGAGCCCTGTGAAAGTGGTCCTTTGACCCCCTCCCCCCCTCCGTAAGGGGTTGTGAGAGAGTTGTTCAGTTTCCATGAGTTTGCAGGCTTTCTGTTGTTCTGTTGTTGTTAATACCCAGCTTTAATCCATGGTGGTCTGATAGGATGTAAGGGGGTATTTTAATTTTCTTGTATCTGTTGAGACTTGCTTTGTGACTGAGTATGTGGTCAGTTTTGGAGAATGTTCCATGAGGTACTGAGAAAAAGGTATATTCTTTTTGCATTTAGGTGACATGTTCTATAGATATCTGTTAGGTCCATTTGGTTTATAAGGTCTGTTAGCGCCAGTATGCCTCTGTTTAGTTTTTGGCTGGATGACCTATCTGTCGGTGAGAGTGGAGTATTGTAGTCTCCCACTATCAGTGTGTGAGAGTTAATCCTCAACCAAAGAACAGATAAAGAAGGACAAAGATAAAGAAAATGTGGTACATTTACACAATAAAGTATTACTCAGCAGTTAAAAATGACATCATGAAATCTGCAGACAAATGGATAGAACTAGAAAAAAAAAATCATCCTGAGTGAGGTTACCCAGAGCCAGGAAGACAAACATGGTCTGTACTCACTCATAAGTAGACATTAGCTGTTAAGTAAATGATAATCATGCTACACTCACAGGCCTATAGAGGCTAAGTAACAAGTGGGGGGGGGCTCAAAAAAGAAAAGAAGAAAACCAAGAGGGCTCTATGGAGGATCCATGGCTCTTCCTCTGAAGGGGAAATAGAATAGATTTTGTGGGTGGACTGTGGGCAGGTGGGAATGGGAATAGAAGGGACCCGGTGGGAAGGGAGGGATGGAGGGAGAGACGACTAGAATTGAGGGGCATTTGCAGGGGGACGGTATGGAAACCTAGTGCAGTGGAACCCCTCTGGAATCTACAAGGGTGACCCTAGAGAAGACTCCTAGTAATAGAGGACATGGAGCCTGAACCAGCCATCTCTTGTTACCAGTCAGGCTTCCAGTGTGGGGCTGGGACATCAACACAGGCCACCAAACCTTCAACCTATGATCTGTCCTGCCTGAAAGATGTGCTGGGACAAAGATTATTTTAAGATCTCTCTGAATCGGCCCTGGAGAGATGGCTCAGAGGTTGAGAGCACTGACTGCTCTTCCAGAGGTCCTGAGTTCAACTCCCAGCAACCACATGGTGACTCACAACCATCTGTAATGAGATCAGGTGCCCACTTCTGGCGTGCAGACATACATGCAAGCAGAACGGTGTATACATAATAAATAAATAAATCTTTAAAAAAGAACTCTCTGAATCTTCTAGAAAAAAGCAAAAAAAAAAAAAAAAAAAAAAGAATGGGTGGGGGTGCTAAGGCAAGGCATACCTAGGAATATAATTAGAACCTGTAGGAGTGACCAACCAATGACTGCTTTAATTTGAGACCCACTCCAGGAGAGAGAGCCCATGCCTGACACTGCCTGGATGACCGGGAACCAGAGGCTGGAGAGACTTAGGGTAGAACCAAACACAACTGGCAAAACAAATAAATAAATGAAATCAATGAAATGGTTCCTAGTGATGTTCTGCTATACTCATAGATTGGTGCCTAGTCCAGTCGTTAAAAGAGGTTGCCTGCAGCAGCTCAAAGAAGCAGGCGCACGGACTCACAACCAACCACTAGGCAGAGAGAGAAAGCCCAAGTTGGAGGTCTCCATCAGGCCCCTCTACTGGGAACTTGGGGAACCCAACAGAAGAGGGGGAGGAGGAATTGTGGGACCCAGGTGGGTCAAGGACACTGGGAGAACACAGCGCTCAGAATCTACTAAGCAGGGCTTCCAGAGACTGAAGCAGCCATTAGAGAGCCTTCTTGAGTCTACACTAGGTCCTCTGCATACATGTTATGATTGTCAGCTTGGTATTTCGGGAGCGGGAGTTAGGGGTGCCTCTGGCTCTTTTGCCTTCTTTTGGGACCCCTTTCCTCCTGCTGGGTTGCCTCAGCCAGCCTTGATGTAAGGGTTTGGGCCTGGTCTTATTGTATCTTGTGCCAAGGTTGATTGATATCCCTGGGAAGCCTGCTCTTTTCCCGGGAGGGGGGGGATGGGAGTGTGATCTGGGGGTTGTGTGTGGGGGGGAACAGGGAGGAGTAGAGGGAGGGGGAAGCTCTGGTCAATATATAATATGAGAAAATAAGCAAATTTTTTCAAAATGGGGTTTCAGTGTTTGACATAAAGCTTTGGGGACTCCCACTAAGTAGTCAATGGGAGGACAACTCCCAACCCCTGAAAGTTCAAAGGAAGCTGAAGATTTCCCGTGGTAGAGATGTCACTCAGTGGTAGGGGACTTGCCTAGCAGGCACAAGGACCTGAGTTCAGTGCTGGACATTAGTCAATAAACAAAGAAAACCTTGTTTGAGCTTTTCTTTCACGTTACAAATAAGTTGGTTGGCAGATTTGAAAAATCCTTTGGAAATTGGAGACAATTGTTACGTGTTGGTCACCATTTCTATCCGAATGAAATTTCAAACATGGAAGAGCTTAATTAGGTTCATTGATTTTTTTTTAGACAAATCCGATTGCTGTTACTCCACCCCCTCCTCCCCCAGGATCTGAAGATTCCCCAGACAACAAAACAAACGAAAAATGCCCTCTGTTCTCAGGGACAGAACATTCATTCGAGCTGAAACTTACAATAAAGTGAATGCATAACCAGCGCCCCCCCCCCAAAAAAAAATACGTTGTGTTCAGGTACCATAAAGACGGGAAGAGCATGGGGACATGGGGTGGGGAGCTGCAACGTTGAAGTGTTTCGGGAAGGCCTCCTCTGTGCTGTGCTGTTTTTGAGACTCGCTATGAAGCAGGGGCTGGGAATGGAACTTCTGATA